CAGTGTATGTTCGTTTTCCTCACCTGAGCTCTAAAGTTTCCTCACAAAGGAGTCAAACCAACAAAAATTTCCCAAATTTTCCTCAGAATTCCCATATTGTCACTAACACACGTAGTTGACCATGTGTAAATTTTCCCCATTTGCACTACCCGTCCGCGACTGGAACGAGCATAGTAGCAGGGGAAAATGAACGACGCCCAATACAGGACGGAAGAAACTACTGACACTGTCTTGAGGCAACCCCAACTGAACTCGCGCATATGAGGAGATGAATAGAAACCAGAGATAATGAAAAAGGCGACAAACATGGAGGTGGATGGGACGAATAATAATACAGTGGCAAACTTCCCAATAGACCTCGCTATTGGATAACCTGCAGTAGCTGCGCCTCAGCAAACCCCTCCTCTTGCAAACGGTTGATCAACTGACTAACCACCTGAGCACAGCGAACACTCTTAACTGCCATCCACAGACCTCACTCCCCTAGCAAAGTAACGACAAAAATTCTCTACAGGATGGTGCAAAAAAGGCCCATCCACTGAAATTTCCCAGAAAAATTGATACGGCGATTCCCTATGTCGCCGATTTTGCGTTTGACGATAGCTCAACCTTGTATAGAGTGTAGAGCAGCAACCGACGTGGGCTATTGTCGAATGATACTCATTTTGTTCATCAACTCTCACGCACTGGGATGAAGCCTCTTTTTACCGCCACCTACTTACCATAGTGACAACTTCTCGCTGCCGGGTGAGCTCCTCCGAGTCCCCTCCATCCCCCGGAGCATCCACACGAAGGACCTCCAATCTCCTCCTCAATGGCGGGGCTGCTTGTGACAGATCAGCCGCGAAGAAAAGGAGATAAAGTCGCTAAACAAAAACCGCTTCGCTCCGCTAACAGCATCACCTACTCCAACGCTACCTCGGACATAGGCAGAGCCACACCATGCAAAAGGACCTCCAGCGTTTGAGAAGGATCATCGAAGCGGTTGACCTCAGTTCTGAAGCACGACACTTTTTCATCAACTCCAGAGTTCACCCATTTTTCCTACACTAAAGTGATGCTAGTGTCGCCGCTGGGATTCGTACTCGAGTCGGACATTTCCAGATACTTCTGCCGGCTGCGGCACTTCAATACGAATTTACGTATCTGTCAATCCGACCAATAGCAATCAGGCAACCATCCAGCTTGGGGAAATACAGTTCCCCAAGGTTTGATAACAATGGTGAAAATGCTCCTAGTGTTACATTTACACGGGAAACTGATTGTTGTGCGTTCCTAGTCATGTGTAGAATCAAAAATGGGCTCCCACCGGGAACATTATAGATTCCCGGATGATGATTCCCTGATAACAGTCCACCGCCCCCCCCTTACGATTTCGTGGTCCAACCGTCGCCTATGGAGCTTCGCAAAAGGATAATTAGTAACTAAAATGGGTGCACATAGTTCATTGGCCGTTGCGCCCGACAGAATTGTTGTCACTTTCGGAGTGCTTGCATCGCAGAGCTGAGCACATCTCGAGACTAGCCAAAAGAATGGTAGCGCGGTCCGGCAGAGGGTCAACCAAGAAGGTACCTGTCGTATAGGCGATAATGACTGTTCATAGAATTCAACATAGCCCTACAGAAGTGTAAGTCGCTGAGTCTCATCGCCTGACCAGTAGCATATCCAAGGCCAGCACCAGCACCAGCGATATTCAGGCTGGGTATTTTATTAAAACTAGTACTGCCCGACGAAGGGGTCTGACTCACCCTGAGGGCCTTCAGTTGAGTCTCTAGTCGCTTCACCTGACGATGATACACCCCTGTGAGTAGAGGAGAAGTGCTTGAGTGGTTCCTACTGAGAGGCCGACACGTAGCTCGTCTCTGAGGCTACTCAGTTCATCGACATCCGAAGAGTCAGCGTATGAACTGGAAGACACGCTTCCATCGTCGGATTCCTGAGGGTATATGATCAGCAATTTACCGCGTGCCATGAAATTATCTTGTCGAAGAGTACATCGTCATAGTCTGACTCCACCATATCGCCGAATCTGTCCTCGATAGTACTCCTCCAAGCGCCGCTGCTATCACCGGAACCCAGAGAACTCGTACCATGAGGCCGCAGTCTAGAAGGATAAGAACTTTGCCCACCATTGAAGCGTTCCAGGTTCAATCCCCGCCCCTTACGCCCCTTGATTGTTCGGTCTCTTCGCGGCTGGTGTAGCTGTCCTTACATTACACTGTGGGCCTTCGTCCGACACTGAGGAGGTCCCTAACGACACACCCACTGTAGCCCACCACATCCCAGACCAGCCCCCACCTCTAAAGTCATCTCCCTGCTTCTCTAGGAAGCCCCTGGCGGTCAACCGCATGGATGAACTCCCACAGCCGGATACAGGCGATGATGACGACATTCAAATCAACAAGTGCTACTGCGAACGGATACCCAAATTCTGTCAACACCTCTGTGGCTGATCAGTTTTAATATGCAGTATGCATAAAGCCCTCTCCAACGCTAGCCCTATATAAAGGCCAACCAAGTTTGGCGCTACGTCAAACGACAACACTGATCATTACGGACCTTCTAGGTAAATGCCTTGTGCCAGTGAGCCAGGAAAATGTGCACATGCTCAACTACATGTGTTGGCGAGACTATATGGAAATTATGAGGAAACTCCTGAGCTCTGCTGAGGAAAGCGAACATATATTCCGATACAGGCTTTGGCTGTAGGCCGATTCGCCGGGGCTTGCACCAGTCGCGACAACTCCATATGTAATGCCGTCTATCACCCGCATGGTGTTGCTGACGAGGGCGCTGCTTCCGAGGGTTGACCATTTTGCGCTAACTAGCCATAAATTCTACTCGTTCCTGTTCCCATGCACTGATGTCCACATCAGTTTCTACAGTAGGCCCACCAAAATCGACATCTACGTTTCCCCGAAGACCGAATCGGCAAAAAAATCTCAGCGGCGGTGACCACCCAGGGTTCGCCAACCTGCCTTACTTGGTGAAACTCCTTCCGGCTTGGCCAAGTCTGGATTTGGCAAAATGCAATACAGACCCTTCCTAGACCAGAAAATGACTAAACAGAAAAAAGACCAACCTGATTAATTTCTGCTGACAGCACGAATTTCGACAATCGCGCTCGCCCAGCGACAAAGTCCAGCTGGGAAAGTGACCATAGAGGTTATTAATGTGGAGGGTTTAAGGAGTAGCACTGAACCCGTCATCGCGCTAGTTTTGATGATTACAGTGAGGTGTAACATCGTCGGGCTATATACAGAGTTCGGCATTGGTCTCGTCAGGCTTTTATGCGTTTTTACTTGCCAGTTTTTCTCGCTATATTCATGTCAAGTCTCGATCAACTCAGCGGACTAAGGACAGGAGTGAAAAGGTAATAAGGCGTGGAAGATCACCACGCAAGTCATCGGTGGGCTAGTCTCGCGTAGAATGGGAAATGCCGTACCACACCTCCGCCAACTCTTGCAGACTAACTCGCCTACCATTCAATCGCCTAACGACCATCTTTCATCCGCTCGTTTTGTCCCTCTTGATACGTCAGTGATATTATCGTGAAGCCTGGCTCGACAGAGTCAGCCCATCATGGCGAATCATGCTAAGTTCACAAGGGTTCATCTGAGAGCACGTAGTTGTTGCCCACTTGTGAAAGCCTCTCGCAGCGTTTGAAATGCCTCCTCTGAAAGCGGGTGACAATGTGATTTTGATATCAACTGTTCTGGTCTTTTAGGACTGACTCGACCTTCTCTTACGCCACCTCGATGGCTAGTCGATACAGCAACGACCCTCATGCCGTGTTGTTGAGCCCTCCTCCGGAGGTGGATATCACAGTAGCAGCACATGCATCGGACGTTATGTGGCCTATGAATATGGGCACGAGGCAACAGATAGAGCTGGCCAAGGCTAGGAGTGCTACTGTGTCGGCGCTACGGGGTATGAGGAAATTGGAAAGCGAGGTGAGTAGTAGTAGTAGTGGTAGTAGTAGTAGTAGTGGTAGTAGTAGTAGTAGTAGTAGTAGTAGTAGTAGTGGTAGTAGTAGTAGTGGTAGTAGTAGTAGCAGTAGTAGTAGTAGTGGTGGTGGTGGTGGTCCTCTCGAAGGAGTTGGCTATGGCCTCGTCTTCATATCAGATAAACGCGTTGAAGGGCCGATTGCAGGATGTGGAAATGGAGAAAGAGATGAATGAGAAGCACATGAGGGAAGA